CATCTCTCAGGCTTCTCTCTGCTATCATCTCTTCTCCGGTGTGCTCTTTCATCGAAAATGGTGAGCGTGGTTTTTCGCTATTCAAATCGATTTATTTCGTAGCGATCCTAGCGATCGGCCGATTTATCGGCGCGGAAAAGATGTCCTGAATTTTCGTAGAACTGGTCTAGTTGAATAGTATCCGGAGAGAAAAGTGTCCCTGCGCGTGATACCGATGTGTTACCGGTGTACAGGTTATGGCAATGTTTATGTGCTGACACGTCGAAATCGCATAATTTTTGTTCCCCGAAGGACACTTATTTTCACTTATATGTCCGTGGACGTGATTTAATGTAGCCCTTTATATTATTTTTTTAATTTGCAATATGGAGTCAGATTGCAGTTTTAAGCTCACTGTGCTCTCGCTCGATGTTCACAGACGAAGGGTACATCCAGCTTCGGTAAGCGGCGTAACAAGACGCACACGTTGTGCAGAAGATGTGGACGTAGCTCTTACCACATCCAGAAGTCGCAGTGTGCGCAGTGCGGCTATCCGGCTAAGAAAATGCGCTCGTGTAAGTCTATCAATATGCGATGTGACTTTGCGTAAAGGAGGACCGATGTTTGTACGAGTATGTTTAATGTCGGCTTAGAAGCGTTAATTATATTTGTATTTGACGGCTTCACAGATAACTGGTCGGTCAAGGCGAAGAGGAGGAAGACCACCGGTACTGGCCGCATGCGTCATTTGAAAATTGTGCGCCGCAAATTCAAGTAAGTCACGATGGTTGCGTTAGAAATCTATCAATAAACGTTCAAGCGAGTTGACCTGTACATTTTTTAACAGCCTTATCTTGCTATCTTTTTTATTTTTACAAATAAACGTTGTGTAAACAGCATCTAAGTTTTCCCTAGGACTTGTAATGTACACATGTAAACGGTTATTTTGTATATGTTTGTAGGAATGGATTCAGGGAAGGCTTGCCGAAACCGAAAGCTGCTGCGGCTAAGTAATCACCGACATCCCGTCTCATTGTCTAATTAAGTTGTACAATTTCGACTACCAATAAATCTAAAAACATCCAATCACGACGTTAGCATTTCAATGAGAATTCCTTGTAACTGAATAATTTTAACGGAAGGATTATTGCATCTATTATGATATTTTCTTCTTTCAAGTATCTGTAGTTATATAAAGTTCAAAGTCTTTACAAGTACTTTCGTTACACTAAAGGGTTTCTAGTTTCTCTCAGTAGAATTCCATTCTTCTAAATGACGATAAATTGAAGTGAGATAGCTTAAAATTAAGTATACTCGGGTATGTTATCTTTTAGCTCCCCTTCCAGTTCTCTTTTCTATTGATACATTGACTAGCATTTGTAAACACTGCTGAGATGAACTTCTGATAAACCTGTATACGCATCCTTGTGTGTTATATCATACCTGACAAGAAAATTTGAAGAAATACACGATCGAAAAGATAAGGTGCGTCGTTTACGCATCGTTTGCGCAACCTCCGTGGAATTTTTAATTGCTGCGACGTCCCGTCCCATATATTTAGCGGGCCTCCGACCTCGTCAAACAGTACGTTCGATGCAGGATGATAACTCGGGTGATCGGCGCTGCTCCGTTGTGCATCTAGGCGTCCGCCGATAAGGCATCCGAAGACCGTTGATCTTCAGCCTGCCAATCTGAAAGTTATGCCCCGCACCAATATTCAGCGAATGTTTCGTCTCCACAAGCACCGAAGAATTAAGATTTGCTCGATTAAATAACTGTAAAAGGGAAACTCACTTAGAACTTCAAACAGACGACTCAAAGGAAATTCGGTCGAGGGAGCAGATATTGATTAATGTATGTTTCCATTGCGTACATACAATTCTTGAGGAATATCTGCAATTACAGAACATTTCTGCCTTCCGAGCGATCTTTACCAAACAAAACGAATTTTACTGCGAAATCTGTATAATATAATTCTATACAAATGGGTATTCTGCGTCAGCTATTTTTTGGTAAGTCTTTCCATTTTAGTCCCACGTTGAAATAATAGTAAAACAATAGTCGCCGGACTGTCTGGAATTTACATTTTGGGCTGTGCAGGCAAATATTTATTAGTCACCAACACCGTGAGCTGCGGCTTGATGATGGCAGCGGGAGATGTGATCCAGCAGCGCAGAGAGCACTGGAAAAAGCATTGTTCCGACAAATACTTTCCGAGCAGCGTCATGGCAGCGTCACCGGAAGATGAGAAGGCGACAGCGATTTCCAGCACGTCTGCGTACGGACACGATTACATGAGGACGAGAAATATGATGGTTGTAGGGCTGGTCCAAGGTCCGTTCCATCATTGGTTCTACACGCTCCTGGATAAGGTTTTGCCAGGCAGGAACGCAAAGTCAGTCCTGAAAAAGACATTTCTCGATCAATCGGTCGCGAGTCCCACGTGCCTGGCGATATTCTTCGTCGGCCTCGGGATCATGGAGAGCCACAAAATTGAGGAGATCTGCAAGGAGCTGAAGCTCAAGTTCTGCGAAACGTGGAAAGTACGTGCGGGATTACACTCGTTAATCGATATTTCAGTAATCGTAGACAATTAAACTGCCGCCGAAAGCTCTCTCCTTGAAATGCGACGCGCGTAATAATTTATTGAAATTACACCGCCAGGTCGACTGCTGCTTTTGGCCTCCCACGCAGTGCGTCAATTTCCTCTTCGTGCCCCTACATTATCGAGTGCTTTACACGAATGCTATGACGATGGTGTATGATATTTTTCTATCGTATATAAAATATGTAAGTTTTTTTTACAATCAAAAACGAATGTACGTTAAATCGCAACGAAGTAATAATCACTTATTTCACCCGCAGGACGCTCACTTCGAGTGACAGAAATCTCACGGCTAGTGTCTGAACAAAAGATATGACCGTACGAATAACAATTGCATGAAGTGTATAGATACGCCTATCGTTATTATTAATCATACGTAACAGTGTGCAATAAAATGCTGTCGGAAAGAACTTCCAAGTATACGTATCTTCCCGTTCCAGTGCCTTATCGCGATCCGATCTATTTGTCCATTTCCTCGATTTTTACCAAACGACAAAGACGAGTAAACATCCGTCGCAGTTCCTGTTGCGATATGCGTGAGGAACTGCCAATAACAATTTTAAAAGTTTGAATCATATTGGCACACCAAGATACTAAAACTGCGATGATTTTCATCGAAGGAATGATAGTTTTATTAATAATTGCAACTTTAACTAACTCGGCTAATCTCTAACCGTAAGTGCGTCAAGGTTGAAGGAATTTAGACTCAAGTACGAATTACGTTATACGCTCTGTGAGAACGAGATATCTTCCTCGTAACGCTGTTAATTTGCGCGCAAATAAATCCGGCGGAGAACTCGGAAGTTTATCGGCGCCGCTCATGTCCGGATCGTAAATTATTCGCATAAGAATGCGACGTGTGCATCGATTGCGAAATAACATAACGAATGCGATACCAATTGATCCGCGGACACGCGCACCCTAAAAACGCGTATCCACAACGATCGCCTTATCGCGCGCAATAATAATCTCTTATTGAGTTTATTTATTTGCTCGACAGCTTTTGTTTGGCATTTGGCGACAGTGGGATTACACGGTCTTCTAACCAGCCAGACGTCGTCACGTCTGCAAACACGATTAATGGACATAAACACAAATAATAAATTCAACCGTCGCGCGACACAAATAATCGACGAGAATATCTTACACGTGAAATGCAGGATTTTGTAACGAGCCTCGTCTGCGCGGATTCGTTATTCGCGTAATTTCGACTCCGTTTCTTCAGTATATAAGCGCTGCACCCTACAATCGTAATATAACTTTCGCTACACTTTTATACGTTTCTGTATAAAACGAGGATATGTATATATACCGAGTAATCAAGAGCGTAAGCTCTCTGTACTCCTCGCAAATTTGTTTACGCTGTATTATTTTATCTCGAACAAAGAGGCTCGCACGTGTCCTATATACAGCTCTTTTACACCTTTAATTGTTTATCTCTCGCTTTGTTTTCCACAACGGTACATAAATTGTAGTTTTCAGCTTCGATAGATTATCTGCGATACCGTCAGCGTGATCGGAAATTTTTCGTCGCGATAACAATATTAAATTCTTCGGTCGCCAATTATCTTCATTGTTCTCGGCGTTAACCTGCGGGCGTGAATGTTTCAAGATTAATCTACGTTTAACGCGTTTCCCCCGTCAAGCTTCAATAATGCGAGATTTTTCATTTGCTTTTTATTATTGACGATTACTCAACTTGGCTATTTGTCAAGTGAACGGGCGCTCAGGGCGATTTGGACCAAAGTCCAATTTAATTCATCATAAGGTGACTAATTCAAATGATACAATCACCTGCAGCGAGATTTCTACAATAGCTATTTAATCTTTCTTTGCGTCAAATGGCAAAAAAGTTAATAAATACGTTTTTGCGAATAATGCCACTTGACAACCTTATAGTTAGCGTAATCGGCGATTAGTGCAACTGGCAAATGTTTATTTTTATCAATACAGATTATCTCTCTTCAATTATCTACATTGGTGAAGAAACAAACAAAAGTCGCGTAAAAGCAATTACAATTCGTTGTTCCTCATCCAATCGTTTTCTCCGTACATTAAACAGCAAACCGATAATTCTAGCCTTGTTAACAGGATATGCAGCTATTATTATTTGATTAATTACTATAAGTTAATCGGAGTTCGGTCCAAGTTGCTCTCATATAGATATAAATAGCGAAGCATGAGTGAGTGAGCGAGCGAGCGAGCGAGCGAGAGGGAGAGTGTGAGAGAAACAAGAAGGGAGGAAGAGAGAGAGAGAGAAGTGGTGGGAGAAGTCGGAACGGCCGATGATTATTAGCTGACTTGAGTATGCCCGGAATTTTGGTTATAACGGATAGTGATTTATTTTTCACCTAAATGCAAATGCACGAGGCGTCGCTTGTGCCCTTCCGCGACAGTAACCGTAGTAAGTGAGCTCGTGCGCGCTCGACGTAGCATGCATCTCCACTCGGCAAGTCACCCGAAGGTTCTCCGCGCTTAATTGGCCTACATAACCGCATAATTATGAATTTGCAAACGCTTTTTCAAGACTTCAATCCAAGGTAACCCTCCTGCCCCGCCCCGTCGCTCTGCGACTCGTCAGCTTCGCGGATCGGCATGTTGTATTCATAAGTAACGTTGATCTGGCTATTCCAGCAAATTTCTGGTGCACACATGTCTGATGATATTCACGTCTCTGTTCGCCCTTCGACTGGACGGCTTCATCGAATGGAGCTACTGGTCGATATTCAGCCCGATATGGTTCTGGAAGGGCATGGTGATCCTAGGGGCGATAGTCGGAAGCTACGTCTGGTGGCGGCATCCCCATGCGAGATTAGAAGGGGACGCCTATGTACATTATAAAGCGATGCTGATTACCCTGGCGTTGCATCTAATCCTGTTGATGTTCGAGTTGTTGGTGTGCGACAAATTAGAATCCGAGAGGCACCTGTGGATACTGGTCTTCATACCCTTGATTTTCATCTCGATCGTATCGATTGCGGTAAGCAGTCGCTTATTCAAAACCGTTGCCGCCGATTGTATCGACTAGCGACTATTCACCTTCTGCTCTCTGTTACGATTTAGGTATGCATCTGGGCTGTAAAACACGACCGGTCGTTCGAACTGGAGCTGTTTTGCGCGGTCAATGTACTGCAGTTCATCTTCCTGGCTCTGAGATTAGACGGCTTTATAACGTGGAGCTGGGAGGTTGTGTTCGTGCCGCTGTGGGCACTTCTTTGCTTATCCTTGGTGGCTGTTTTGTACGCGATAGTATTCGCCGCCGTTTTACTGAGAACGCCGCAGATCAACGCCCGTCAGAGGCGGACCTCCCTGCACTCGGCGGTGGCGTATACATTTCTCGTCGTTCCCATTTTAGTGTTCCAGGTACAACTAGTACATCGTCTCGTGAGTGATTCACAATTTTCCTGTGTTAATACGAATTATTCTGCCCCAGGTACTGCTAGCGAATAAACTGGACGGAGATATTTCAATAAATTATATAACAGTGGCATTGCCACTCCTCCTGTCGCATATGACTCTTATTTTTATGTCCTTTGGTGCAAAAGGCGGAAATAGATGTGAGCAATTTTCTTTGCACACTTTTATTTAGTAATAGGTTAACGCTATGTTATCATTTTTTTCTCTCTCAATGTGATATATACGTACACGATGATTTCGTTATTCCTTTTATTTAGCATGTAAGAACGATGGAATTTTTGTCTAGGGTGGTTTGGTATCAGAAAAGACTTTTGTCACTTCCTGCTAGGTTTATGTCCATTGCTTCAAGAATATGGTAATATTTCGTATCAACCAAGGGACGAGCGAGATCAACCACCATCCGAGCCAATGATTACGGAAAAGAGCGAGAAGCTTATTAAGAAAATCGACCTAATGAAGCCTGTTGTGCCTATAATTTCTATAGACATGCCTGACTGATTGGCTCAAAACAGGTATTCGTCGCAGCGGCACGTGCAATGCAAATTGACGATAGCTAAACTTTCTCATTTCGATACTTTGCAGGGTTAGCTCGGATATTTTTAAATTGTTATTTTTACTGCAACTGACTTATACAGAGGCCAAATATCTACTATAAAATAGTCAGGTATACCTTTAAATATTGAATACGGACTGACGAGTAATTGAATCTAGATTTGTACTTAATTATTTCCCTTTGTTCTAGGCCTTATTAAGCAAAAAGATCGAATTACACGGATATATACGTCGGCTGGGATACAAGACTGAGCACCTCGCATCTCTAGAGTAGCATTGTCAGGACGCGTCAGAAAATATAGAAGAAAAGAGTGGTTTGAATAATTAGAAAAGTGATATTGCTGTTAATGTTGCTGGACATCGTAATGTTGAATGCCCAATCATCTATTATATTATAATGTAGATATAATGTATATACAGACTGTTATATCATAACATTACGTATGATGGATATTGAATATTACACGGGTCTGCCATACACGACGATGGTGGATAAGTGCTATAGTATAACGTTACATTATTTTATATATATATTACATCTAAAAAAAAACTACTCTTATAATCTAATAAAGTTTCTATTTTTTGGTATCAACAGCAACGATCAATTAATTTCTGAGATACCGCTAATTTAACATACAGAACGATATTGAGCGTGAGATGTCTCGAGACTATATTTCGGATTTTTAGTACTTTACTGCAAATGTTATAAGCATTATATAAAAGTGAATAAGTTAAATTTTCTGTTCGACATTGCAACACCTTTGTAAGTTATTATGTAATCTGTGAAAAATAGAAAAGTACGTCGTGAATATTTTATTTCGTCATGTATCCCGTTGCGGCTGTAAACTTTGTTGAAACCTCTTTTTCACTTCTCAGGAGATTACCACAATGGTACGTACTCTGGTACCCACGTTCGACCAAGGAGCGAAGATAAGTTCGTCGACACTTGAGCGATATCCAAGTCCGCATCTTCTATCAGCGATGTTTCCGAAACATACAGTACCTGCAGACGATGTGCGCACAATGCAACGAATTTCGCTAATCCAGAACAACTATAAGATACAAGAAATTATTATTAATTTATTTCTTATTAACATTTTGTTTGGAGAGATGACATTTTCTGACTTCATTACTGCTGCAGTAGGCGAAATGTCTGTTAATGAGATTCCAAGATATTTTCGCAAATTGTACTAATTCATGATGCAAAATTAACGTTAGTGTTAAATAAAGTAAAGACAATTTTACTAGTTTTTAAATCGTGTGAGCAATGAAACTTAAACTTGCAATATCTTCGAATTAGAGTAGCGATATGTGTTGCGTCTGTATATTCACATACGTAATTTCACAATTGCCCAAACTGACGGCACTGAGCCGCGAACAGCCCTTGGCCACGGAAATCAGGAACCGATCAATCGGACCAGACCCGTAGGCGGCGATAACTAACTCTATCAATCGTGGACATTGCTTGCTTATCCGTGACATTATAGTTTCCGATGTTGCGTCGCCGAGATACAAGTGCGTTACAGGAAGGTGCGACGTGAAGAGTAATTTTTGATCATCGTCGTCGGTCATGTAAGACAATCTAATAAAAAATAGAGATTACAGCGGCGACTTACTTTCCACTCGCGTCGCGCGCAGATATTGTAATAGTGATACATGATCAAGATTACTGGCTTATTTTTACTTACAGCGCAAGATTTATGTCGGGCAAACGACTTGAAAGCGCAGACCACGCTTTATCGCTAACACGTGGAAGAGGCTTCGCTTCCGGGTGTGCCTCCACTCGTAGAGTTTCCAAGTGGATTTGCTTTACCGAGCACAACGCTAGGAGCAGCTCGTCGCTCAGCAAAGCATACGATAGAGATAATTCGCGAAGCCATCGACAATAATCGGCCAAGGCGAGAATTCCTGAAACATCGATGAATTTTCTTTAACTTTCATATGTATGTGCGATTTACGAAACCACGAACTTAACTTTTATTCGTTGCTATCGGTGACATCATGCAGTTTTCGTATTACCTTCGGGCAATAGCCGTGGAAATCCCTTAACTCGCATAAGGCGCAACGTTCTGGGATCGTTTTCGTCGTTATCCCAACGACGATTCTTCCTGCGTGCGACATTCTTATTCTTGGAGATCGTCACAGCAGACTTAAAATGCTCATCCTCGATCCCGAGCTTCGCCGTGCTCGTCACCGCAAACATTTGCAACGGTTGATCGAGATATTTAGTTTCGCATCACTCTTTTCAACTGAATCGGTGCAAGTTTTGCCGATTAAAAAATAGCACAGCACAGAAACTCATTGAGAATCTGCGAGTATTTCATTCAAACTCATCCTATTTTAGAGTTGAGCAATTTGATTTCCAAGTTCATATATTATACTTTTTTAACTTTCACTCTTGGGCTTTCTACTTACAAATTACTATTCCTGGTAAATGTCACTCAAATTAAATTTATTATTAACCGATTCTAGTAAAACCTCACTGGAATACAGTGTAAACTTGATAACTGCTGTTCTTCTGAATGGTAACGCACTGATCCCGTCCAAGAGAATACGTTCAATCTTGCGCGATATTCGAGCGTGAAGGGAGAAGCTCTGGAAAAATATTCGCGCGATGATCTGATGATAAACCGAGGATACGTTCTTTCGTTCTGCCGCGAACCATGGTCCCCCGTGAAACGGTCCCAGCTCGACTCACCGAGATGAATGCATAGGAAAAAGCGAAAGGAGTTTGCGGAAGTGGGGACTAGGGCATACACGCGAGGAACGTTAGGTAAAAGTAAAGTCGCGAAGAAAAGGGTCAAGGACTTCGAGATTGCTTGCTTGCGTATGTTATTCGCGCACTGTTCACGTGTATTACGTAAAAAGGTAAGATCTCATATGAGGCTGCCACAAGAAAAAACGTGACCCAAAAGGTGAATTGTAAGTTATTTCACGTTCTCCTTCTGAATTCTTTCAAATATATTATAACAAAGTTTTCGTTTTGCTTGCATATTTTTGTCTGTGGAATCTAGTAGAGGAAAGTCCCATATTATGAGATAGGATTTTAATATGGGACAGCGGGATTTCTGTTAAATTAATTTCGTTCTGCGAAATTATCAGTTGATTCCACCATGAATTTATTGCGAAATCTGTTTAGTGGAAGAAAACAATGGTAGATTGTGTAATCGTTGCGAAAAAGATTTGTGATTGAATTTGGGTGTTAAAAGTTTGCTATCTCATATCAGAAACTTGTCTCAAATCAAATTTTTCATAAAAAAAAAGAGACTAATTACCTGCAAAATATTACAGCAAACGATTAAATAGTTTAATTCAAGACGAACATCGAATCGATGAAGTTTTTTAAATATTCTTATATTCTTATTCATTCATTCAGCAATAATTCTTTGAACGTTATTTCATTATTGCACCGACGACCGTTTATTTATTCAATTTAGTTATTACCGATTCGCACGTGACGTTCCTTTCACCAAGACGTCCACGTGTTAGCAAACTCACGTGCACGGACCGTTCGCGCCCCTTCACGTCTTTCTGACATTCGCGAAGGCCGCACTATCCCAGTTAATTATACTAATGTGTAAGTGACTTTTACCGTTTGGCTTGGAAAAGTTGTAAACTTACTTAACTTTTATCTTTATATAAATTTATTCGGATTTTCTGTAGTGTTAATCGACACTACATACTTGCTGTGTGTCATTATATGATTACGTAAAGTATATAAATACAGTTCTCTGTTTGTCTCTCATGTTGAGTTAAAAAGAAAAAGTTCAAGATTTAATTTCGTTTTCATCTGCGAATCCTGCCACAGGCCACTTGGTCAAATGGTCTTTCAGGACAAAAGGAAAGAGAGACAACACTTTGAAGCAATTGCCCATTTTATCTTCATCGGTTATCATACGATATCCCGATTCAATTTGTTCCTTTTGGGCGCCAGTAGCGTTCTGCAAAATCATTTTTAACCGTAAATCAATGCCGAGGCTTTTCAAGAATTTCCTTTGCGTCACTGGACCAAACGTGATCAATCTATCGTCCTTCCGTGCAATCTCTTTCATTAGTAAAAAGTCAACATCCGCGGTCAGATCCGCGGTTCCGGGGTTCAACAAGGGATCGTGTAACTCGTGTCGGCGGAATGCGCGAAACGTGTCCGTCTTTTCCCTCTCGTGGCCATAATCGATCACTAGCGCAAATCCTCCGTGTTCCCACAAAAACTGGGACATGTGGTCCACTATTACAGAACATTGCGGACTCATTTCCACATGATCTCTTTTCTCATGAGGCTAAAAGACGTCGCTTTCATTAATTTACTGTCTAGCGGTTGAAACGCTGAGAGAGCAACGCAAATAAAGGCTTACAGATAGGTATACTTTGCAAGCAGCCGTTGGTACTTGCGAGAGTACGTATCGAAATCTCTCTTCCTTTGAGTCTTGCACTATATCTATTAAGACTTCCCTCCAACCTTTGTCAGTTTTCTAAAATCACGCGTTGCTCTTGTAAAAATTTATCCTTTGTGTATCTCGCACGTCAGTATTGACATTTCCGTACCTGGAACTTGTGTATTGGCAGAGCGTCAAAGAACTCGTGCGCAACAAACACGCTGAACTTTCTAGGAACGTCGTTAATAGATCGATACCAGTACAGTTTTACTCCTTCTCTCGTAACACCCTCTTTGTAATGCGTGACAGAGTTCTTCTGGCCCTCGTTGATTCTTGGCTCAATGTCTCTGCTCTCCGCGCACAATTTCTCTGCTTGAATCGCAGCCAAAACGGGACTAATTTCTACCAGGTGAACCGATACCTTATTCAACAGATTCAGTTTCTTGAACACCTAAAACAAGGGACGTCTCGTAACTTTCGCGCTTGTACGTTCGATTTGCGAACAACGGCATATGAAGAGTATACCCGTAGAATATCACTGATCAAGCTACCTCTTCCTGGACCAAGTTCCACAAGTTGGATAGAGTCCCTGCTAATTTTCCTCCATTCGCTGATTATCCAAATTGCCACAATCTACCAATAGTGAATAATACACAAGTTAGTTTCTAGGCAAGCAATTCCTGGCCAAGTTTCAGATAGATGAATCGTAAAAAGCCGAAGATAGAACCTGAAGCTCTCAACAAGAACGTATTGTAAGCCCTTGACGTGGTCGTCGACGTAAATGACATATTAAATAATGGCTCGTTCTCGGCCAGAGAACGAGAGAACTACGTACTTCTCCAAAAAGTTGACTGATTTCTGGAGAAGTCGTGAAATCGCCTCTTTGCCCGAAAACGTCTCTGGTCGTGTAATAGCCTGCAGTGGGATGGGTCAAGATCTCCTTCATGTACTCGGCGAGCGTTATGGGGCCGCATGCTAACATCTTCGCGTACAATTGACGATACAGATCAGCTTTCCTCTCTGAACCGCTCGACAAGGGCAATCTCATTTGCGACGAACGCGAGAAAGCTCGCGCTACTCGGGATAGCCTGATCATGTTAGATACAGCGTTAAGTACTCGCGCTGTATCGCATAAATTCTTTATTTACAATACACAATTCCTGTATAATCGCAATAATCGCTCCTCGTGCGAAAACTGTCACATAAATTAAATGCGAAGCTTTCGAACGGGCCGCAGGTAAGGTTAAGTTTAGCTTCAGTTAGGTGAGGTTAGGTTAGGTTCCTCCATAAGGTAAAAAATAATTGCAGAAGTGGAACTTTGAAAGAATTGATTATCAGGGGGGGCCCTGTTATTGGTTGAGCGAGTGTCGACAGCATGGCGTACTTCTAACAATATGGCGTGCGTCGAGCGTACAAAAAATCCAGAAATGCGTGCATAAGTGACACAAGGCTCTGTACCTAATTCAAATTTTTTACCCCCCTTTGGAGCGAAATTTCCCAAACTGGGCGATTTATATTTTGCAAATGGATATCGGAGAACTGTTATCTTATAAGGTGCGTACTGGAATTATTCTGCACTGCGATTTGTAAAATTTACATTGATCTCTACAATAACATATACATTATTTAGTTTAACCTCTCGCCCGTGTGTCGTGGCTCTTGCCTCGTGAAAATTTTCATCGTCGGTTTCGCCATTTGTTTTCCCGTTTGTCACAAGTAGCTGCAATATGATAATCAAGCGTTGACAATGTGCACAGCCTCCAAACACACCGAAGCGACCGGCAGCGGGTGAGGAGGACGACGAGGATGAATGGGAGAGCGTGAAGAAGCCGAAGAGGGTGATAAAGACGCCGTATCATGCGCGCCAGCGGCAGCCCAAGGAGCTGGACGTGGTGCCGTCCAGGAACGATGAACCCGCCACGCCTGTCAGAGCCGCTGTGCCTTCGTCGGCCAACGACGTGGTGGAGCCGCAGTTAACGGAGAAGGAGAAGCAGGACATACTCAAGTATGTGGAAACCGAGGCGCCCGAGGTCGAAGCGTTGGACGAAGCTACGCTCAAACGTATGATCCTTCTGTTTGAGAAGAGAGCACTGAGGAATCAGGAGATGAGAGTCAAATTCCCGGATCAGCCGGAGAAGTACGAACGCGTGGACGCCAAGTATCCACTGGTTAGAATTGTCAGTATACAAAATTTGGCCTCTTTTGCAGATTTATGGAATCCGAGGTTGAACTGCACGAGACTCTGCAGGAGCTTCATATTGTGGCGACCAATCCAGATCTGTATCAGTTAATGGTAGAGCTAAGCGCTGTGCCTTCTTTACTGGAGTTGTTATCTCACGAAAATACCGATGTAGCAGTCGGCGTGGTGGACCTTCTGCAGGAACTGACTGACGTAGATATATTGCACGAAAGTCAAGAGGGCGCGGATACGCTTATTGACGCTTTGCTGGAGCAGCAAGTTTGCGCTCTCCTAGTGCAAAACCTCGAGAGACTTGATGAAGCGGTGAAGGAAGAGAGCGACGGTGTTTATAACACACTTGGTAAATGTTTATATTGCTTTTCCTTCTGCAAAATAATGCTTTGACCGAATTGACTCGATGACCGCATTGATTTCCAGCGATTTTTGAAAACCTTCTGGAATTTAGGCCGAATCTGTGTGCGGATGCGGGAAAGCAGGGTCTGATGCAGTGGTTGTTGCGTCGAGTTAAAATGAAGACACCTTTTGACGCGAACAAACTTTACGCCAGTGAACTTCTGTCTATACTTTTGCAAGACACACCAGAGAATAGACTTCTTTTAGGTGACTTGGATGGAATTGATGTTTTGCTACAGCAATTAGCTGTATGTATTTGTGTATTTCGAAGCATTTGCGCGCAAAATTACCAAGCAGAAATGATGTAAATACCGATTGTTCGCAGTATTATAAGAGACACGATCCACAAACTGTAGAGGAACAAGAAATGATGGAGAATTTGTTTAACGTTTTGTGCTCGAGCTTGATGGCCACTGTAAACCGCGATCGGTTTCTGCGTGGCGAAGGCCTTCAACTTATGAACTTGATGTTACGAGAAAAAAAGATGTCACGGAATGGATCTCTCAAAGTGAGTTTCTTTGAGCGACAGGCTCCGCTGGATTTCTACAAGTTGCTGTAATTAAATTATAGGTTTTAGATCACGCTATGAATGGCCCGGATGGGAAAGATAATTGTAGTAAGTTTGTAGATATTCTTGGACTGCGAACTATATTTCCTCTGTTTATGAAAACCCCGACGAAAAATAGAAAAAAAATGCTTACTGCGGAAGAACACGAAGGTACAGTCTGGATGTATTAATAGTAAACAGAATTCTAATTTATTCAGTTATTTACAGCGAAATAATAAATAATTAATTTTGCAGAACACGTCATCTCAATTATAGCAAGTATGTTAAAGAACTGCAAAGGTCAACAACGTCAAAGATTACTCAGCAAGTTTACGGAGAACGACTATGAGAAAGTGGATAGATTAATGGAATTACATTTCAAATATCTCGAAAAAGTGGAAGAAGTGGAAAAGAATGGGAAGGTACGTGCACAATCGAAAACATTTAACAGGGATGAGGACGTATAAAAACTTACACTCTCTTTTGTTATTTCCATCGCAAGGAGGATGAAGACGAGGAAGAGTCTTACTTGAGAAGATTAGATGGCGGCTTATTTATATTGCAGTTGGTAGATTATGTACTTTTGGAAGCTTGCACTGGTTGTCCGCCTGCGGTCAAACAACGAGTGACAAGAATCTTGGCGCAGAGGAGAGCATCCCTTAAAACAATTCGACACATTATGAGAGGTGAATTACGAGTAGTTTAATTTAACTATGTATTCAATCACAAAATTATATTAACAATGTATTTATTCGTGTGTCCTTGTTTCAAAATCAGAATACGCCGGCAACTTAGGAGATGCCGGTGACACGGAATGGAAAGAAGCGGAACAGCAACATATCTTGCAATTAATTGATAAATTTTGATATGTATTGTTAAGATATATTGTTGTACAACGTAAGATAAACCTGATAACTATATTATTACATAATGTACAACACATGTAATGAATATGTGCATTACACAAACATCTAAGTACCCCAAAACTGTGCTATTGATTAAAGACTGTTTAAGAAAGACAAAATCGTGAATTAATTTTATACTCGTGTGTCTACTATGTATAATAATATTCCAAAAGATACGGTGTGTAATCAATATGCAAAAATAAACTCGTTTTAGGATTAAAAAATTCATTGACATTTGTATCATTTAGAATATTATAATAAAGTTCAGAAGAATTTTTCGTAAAAAATTAAAACTGTTGATCGTAGATTCGTTCTATGCTCTGTACGTAAACTAATCTTAAGTGCAAGAGTACAAGTTTGATACAAAATTTCGTAAATCTGGCAAAATGTGAATATTGGCTACGTAGTTCATGTCCACGTTTTCTAATGTATACATATAAGCCATTTTAATTGCATGCAATCTTTCAATTAATGATTAAGTTTTTTTTAACATAAAATGTAATATTAAATGTACGATATTGTGATATTAAAAAACAGGAAATTTGAGAGAGCATTTTTTAATAAACATGTAATCAAGCGCAAATATGTACAATATATCTTTTTTTTTCACTTCTCTGTTCTTTGTATTTGTATCAAAGAACTACTTCATAAATATTATTTTCAATAAAATCTTATCGGTGCATTTTATGATTGCTGTGTTTTACAACTTCAAGAGTCGACTAGAACTCTGACATACACTTCGTTGCAATATGTTGCATACCTTTACAATTTACAAAAATTAAATGATTAAAAATGCTCTCTTAAATTTCCTGTTTTTTAATATCACAATATCGTACATTTAATATTACATTTTATGTTAAAAAAAAACTTAATCATATTGAAAGATTGCATGCTATTCAAAATGGCTTATATGTATACATATTAAATGTACGATATTGTGATATTAAAAAACAGGAAATTTAAGAGAGCATTTTTTAATAAACATGTAATCAAGCGCAAATATGTACAATATATCTTTTTTTTTTTTACTTCTCTGTTCGCTGTATTTGTATCAAAGAACTGCTTCATAAATATTATTTTCAATAAAATCATATTCATCATAAAATCATATTCGAATAATAGAACAATCAACGAAAAATCAACGCTATAGCGTAAAGAGCTTACAATAATAGGCTAAATACAGTATTTAAAGAAAGGAAAGAGTGATCTTAATAAAGAATCAAGTATATGTAAGATGCTTATTTAATCTTCTTATGACTCCTCAAATTTCGAGTTGGCAAAAGCATCACGGTGGGTTCACTATCCGTCGAATCGTCGAGAAACAGCTTCTTTCTACGAGTGCGTCTTTTCTCGATCTCTGGTGGTGGCAAAGTGGTATTTCTCGTAGTGCGCTTCGATTCAGACCCGGACAATTCGACAACCGGTATGCTTTCCTGCTTATCCTTCTTCACCCGCCATTTCATTAGACGCAGAGCCAAAGGTTCGTCGTCCGACGAGATGTCATTTTTGATGCCGTATGCCTCCAGTTTCTGTTGAGCATCTTCCTTATCATATTATAAAGGAAGAACTGATTACTGATGGAATATCGGAAGATTTAAACATGACCAGAGAAAATATGAAAGAAACAATGGAAAATGCAAAAGTACCTGTTAATGAAACTAAATTCAAATTATTCGAATCAACTTCTTTAGTTTCATTAACAGGTACTTTTGCATTTTCCATTGTTTCTTTCATATTTTCTCTGGTCATGTTTAAATCTTCCGATATTCCATCAGTAATCAGTTCTTCCTTTATAATATCTCTTGATATTCATTTTGAATAGACGTCCTTGAGGTCGGTTTGTTCTCAATGAAGCGAAAGAAGAATATATTACAATTACATCTGATTTAAGAGAAAAGGAACTTCGCATTGATGAACAAGCAAAAACTATAGAACATGAAGAAAAAATTGCAGATTTAGAATTACAGTTGGAAAACGTTAATGTTTGTTTAACGGAAAAAACGACGCTTCTAGAAGAACAATTAGAGCCCCAACATGAAAATAAGATGGAAGATCAGATTCTACAGTTGCAAGAAGAAATTAATAATTAATTAAAAATTAATAAATTAATTTTTAATTTATTAATTTCTTCTTGCAACTGTAGAATCTATCTTCCATCTTATTTTCATGTTGGGGCTCTAATTGTTCAGAGGAGCAGCAAGAAGCTTACAAAATCACAAGCCTTACGACGTTACTCACCAAGTTGCCGCTACTGGATAATAACGCGAGTAAACAGTCCAAAAGTACTGAGACTGTATGCCGAGAATTTACGTTTTCTCAAACATTTGGGCCAGAAACAACTCAATTGGAATTATTTGAGCAAACGGTACAGCAGAAAATGATTGATTTCTTAGCTGGGCAAAATTGTACTATAATGACATATGGTAAGCTTAGAATCTGATCTCACTTTCCACTTGTATGTTTGACCAGTCGTTATTCATACCGACTGGTCAAACATACAAGTGGAAAGTGAGAATGCCAAAGAAGAAACGGCTCAAAATGATATCTGCATACTTTGCCTGACTATTTGAGAAAACTTTGATTCAGATTTTTTTTGTGTTTGCTTCTTCCTTTCTATAATAATTTTTTTTGCGATGGCAGACCAATTTAGAACATATTGGGTTTTCACATACAAATTTGACAGAGGATTGACGTTAACTATTAAAGCGAGATCTTCCTTCCCCGATAATGCTTGTTGGAATAATCTGGTTAATTTTGATTCTCGGAATGGTCCCACGGTATCAGTCTTCGTTCTTGTCAATTGTCCTTCGTGGATGGACTTTAAGCACTTGCCTAACACTAGTAAACTAGTGTTAATATTTTGCGTTTCTTTCAATCTGTCCCCGATATTCAACGTCTTCTTTAAACGTTCCGAGCCCGCCAGATCACAAAAGGAAAACCTATATAAATACCCAAGTATTAGGATTCTGATGATACAGATAAATTAATGTAATCTTAGTTTCTTTCTCATAATTATATAAAACAAATAAAAACATTGTTAAACTTATTAAGAAAAATAAGTAGAAAAAGAGAATATATATATATAATTTATATTATATATAAATACAAAATATTAGAAAGGGGAAGAAAAATACATACGTGCTCACTTCAACGCTATCTGGTAAATTTTCTGCATAATATTTTAACAATATAATTGTGAATATACAATGAGATCTTGAGCTTTCTGCATTCAATGCAGTTGCGGCTACTTTTAAATTATATTGCCCCGCCATTAAGATCTGGTAAGCTTCTGTCGCCGAGTTAACATAAATAGTCTTTAAATTTTTTATAAAGGCTCTGCCATTAGAGTCCGTTACTAATTTCAAAGGTATCCTCTTTTCCTGGCTTTCATTTGACAATAAATCATATACAATTTCATCATAGATTTCCGCAAATGAAACCCAAACTGAGTACTGAGCATCATAACACTGACTGGGGCAATTCGCCCCAGTTGATTCCTCTTGCAACAATTTTTGCATTTGTTCGTAGGTACTTCGGTTCTGAAGCCTATTTACGAAACAGAATGTCAGCAATTTAGTTTTTGCTTGAAACTCTTGTGTACGTTCAAGTGCGTCAAGATTGATAACGTCGCTATAATGCACAGGTTTATAAAATGGATTTGGTCTTGTTGTAATATTGTTAAACACAAATTCCAGTGCTCGTGATATAATTCCAGGTGAAGTAGCGGTCCCTTGCAAGGTATAAGACTTGCCAGAATTTGTAGTACCTATAAATTAAAAAATTACATTACTACCACTAAGCATTTCTTTATGTGTATGTTCACGAGTTTCTATATACTATAGATTTTTGACAATAATAATGTTCTATTGAGCAAATAATATTGAAAATATAGACAAAATCTGTATTATCAGCATATCGACATTAAATATAAAAAGACGAGAAATTAAAGCTCTTTGAGAAAGTTATAGAAAATTTGTAATACAGCGTCTTGTGACAATTTTATAGCGCTTGCTAGTTAATTTTATAAGTTTCAAATTGCAGTTTTTGGATATCTCAATAAATATAACATTTGGGATGTTTATAAATTATTTTGTTTATCTAAATAAGTATTATTTAGATATTAGATATAAATTCTGAAAGCTTTTAATTCTTTTTTCCTCAAGTACCTCATATTGCAGAATATTTCTTACCATATGTCATTATAGTACAATTTTGCCCAGCTAAGAAATCAATCATTTTCTGCTGTACCGTTTGCTCAAATAATTCCAATTGAGTTGTTTCTGGCCCAAATGTTTGAGAAAACGTAAATTCTCGGCATACAGTCTCGGTACTTTCGGACAGTTTACTCGCGTTATTATCCAGTAGCGGCAACTTGGTGAGTAACGTCGTAAGGCTTGTGATTTTGTAAGCTTCTTGCTGCTCCTCTGTTAACTCTAGCTTCTCTGGGAATGGTTTGAGTCTTATAATATTTTCCAATATTCCACTTAAATGTATATATATAAAATATACATGTACGAAAAAGAATGTTTTTCGAATGTTTCGCTTTTACATTTGGAAAAACATGCAAGTTTTAATAGTTGTTCGCGCACCTTCCGCGAAATCCGCGTACTTAATCGATCACGCGAAAGTTAGAACGCCGGAACGCGTCCGATCAGACGCCGATCACGTGTACGCTCCGTTTTTCGCGGTGCTCGCGTAAACACGCCGCGACGAGACTCGCCGAAAAACGGAGCGTACACGTGATCGGCGTCTGATCGGACGCGTTCCGGCGTTCCAACTTTCGCGTGATCGATTACGCGGATTTCGCGGAAGGTGCGCGAACAACTATTAAAACTTGCATGTTTTTCCAAATGTAAAAGCGAAACATTCGAAAAACATTCTTTTTCGTACATGTATATTTTATATATATACATTTAAGTGGAATATTGGAAAGTATATAGCAAGAAACATCACAGTGGATATTCCTGTGACTTCGTGACTATACTACGAGTCTATTGATGTGACGGCGCGCGGATTCCGCCTCGTCCGAGACGCGAAGAGAAAGAGTCGAGTCCACGAGTTGGAAAAACTTACCTCGTGCTAGATCCGTTGGAAAGACCTTGCCTGTGTTTTGGCTCCCGATCTGTGCCCCGACTGCCCGATCATCCCGACAGTTCACACTGGCCGCGTTCAGCAGACACAACTGTTGAGTGAGCGCTCAATGATTTCTTAACATGATTGGCTGGATCTAAAAGTATTAGCCAATCATACTGAGCGTGAACAACTGTGAACAGTGGCCGCGTTCAGCAGACACAACTGTTGAGTGAGCGCTCAGTATGATTGGCTAATACTTTTAGATCCAGCCAATCATGTTAAGAAATCATTGAGCGCTCGCTCAACAGTTGTGTCTGCTGAACGCGGCCAGTGTGCCCAGCCGAGAACCGAGAACGTTAGCACGGACGGTGCCGCGGCGGTGGGGATAGTCGGTCTGCGCGCGCACGCTCGCACACAAGCAACACGTCGTAGCCAAGCATAGAGCGCCGACAGAGTGCAACTACTGGTTATACT